CTGATGGGCCAGTGACTACCTCACTTTTGACAACTTTTGGTCGCTCTAGCAAGACTTTAACTGCCATTGGCGAGCAGGGAACCGTCCATTTCAGGCACTGCTGCACAACAAGGGAACAAGGGGAACCTACATATAAAATTTGAGAAAGATCCCTCTGGTACTTCCCGAGAAATAGCGATAACAAACTTTCACTATCAAAATCCAAGATGGCTGCCTGTCAGCCATGTTGTTTATCCGATCAGTCTCAAAAGTTACCCTGCACAGCTACGGACCAAGGGGAACCTACATATAAAATTTGAGAAAGATCCCTCGAGTACTTCCTGAGAAATAGCGATAACAAACTTTCACTATCAAAATCCAAGATGGCTGCCTGTTGGCCATGTTGTTTATCCGATCAGCCTCAAAAGTTGCCCTGCATAGCTAAGGACCAAGGGGAACTTACATAAAAAGTTTGAGAAAGAACCCTTTGGTACTTCTTGAGAATTACCGATAACAAGAATTGTTTAAGGACTGACGGACGACGAATGAACGGACGACGGACAGAATTATCATACGTTATCTCCCTTACCTGGAGCCCACCATCAGATGATGGTGGGCTAAAAAGTTGACGCCGGACAGACGGAGGCATGCCGCATCACGGCATAAGCTCACTTGTCCCTTTGGGCCATGTGAGCTAATAATTGAATACCAACCTTCCTTTTGGAGAAGTGTGCCTGCCTGGTCAAAGTAGCCCTTGTTTTTGAGGAAGTTTATACGGTCACTCAGGTGTTCCAGGCGCTCCAGGTTCACCAACATGCGAACTTCGTTACCGTTCCGGTAATGAAACTCAGCAGCCATGTGACTAAGACGTTCTCGTGTACGCAGTGTATCTGGTGCATGGTCCAATAACACAGCAGGTACAGCTTCATCTTTAGATCCCAGGCTCTGTCAATGGTAATTGTGAAATCTGAATACAAGTAAAAGTGTTAATGAGTGACAACAAGCGCAAATGAAAGTGATAAATGCATATGTTCCCAATTAGAGTAATTACATGTGTTCACAACATTCATTTGATAATTAATTATCAGAAAGTACATTCAGTTCATATATTTAACTATTGCTTGATAATAAAATTGGTTCTCTATAATTATATTGGTTTCTCCAGTGATGGTCTAGGCAAGACTTGTAAGATTTGATAGTTCTTGATGACATACTCTCAGGTGACAGGCTTTTCCAGATGTTAACAGTTCTGGGACAAAATGAATTCTTTCTCAGGTTAAGACGAACTGAGCAACATCTGTTGTCCACACATTAATGATTTTAAATGCCAAGAAGCTGGTGAAATGTTTGCTAACCCATTGATTTACCAGTTAGTTAAAAGTTGTTACTGCAAAATTTGGTTCTGAACGATTTTAGGTGGTTAATAATAACAACTGTCAGAATCATGTGACTAAGGTGTCAAGTCCACAGATGATACCAGGTCACCCCTGGACGACTTTTAAGAGCCATCTCTCTGAAACATCGTATATGGGGGTAGCAAGTTTACATAATTCTGACATCAGGATTATCATACGTTATCTCCCTTACCTGGACACCACTTACCTCTAATTCTGACATCAGGATTATCACACGTTACCTCCCTTACCTGGAGACCACTTACCTCTATTACCTGGAGACCACTTACCTCTAGAAGTTTGTTGTTACCCTTCTTTTCCTGGAGACCACTTACCTCTAATTCTGACATCGGGATTATCACACATTACCTCCCTTACTTGGAGACCACTTACCTCTAGCAGTTTGTTGTTACCCTCCCTTGCCTGGAGACCACTCACTTCTAGAAGCTTGTTGTTACCCTCCCTTGCCTGGAGACCACTTACATCTAGGAGTTTGTTGTTACCTCCCTTACCTGGTGACCACTTACCTATAGCAGTTTGTTGTAACCTCAATTGCCTGGAGACCACTCACCTCTAGAAGCTTGCTGTTACCTCCCTTACCTGGAGACCACTTACCTCTAGAAGTTTGTTGTTACCCTCCCTTGCCTGGAGACCACTTACTTCTAGAAGCTTGCTGTTACCCTCTCTTGCCTGGAGACCACTCACTTCTAGAAGCTTGTTGTTACCCTCCCTTGCCTGGAGACCACTTACTTCTAGAAGCTTGTTGTTACCCTCTCTTGCCCGGAGACCAGTTACTTCTAGAAGTTTGTTGTTACCCTCCCTTGCCTGGAGACCACTTACTTCTAGAAGCTTGTTGTTACCCTCCCTTACCTGGAGACCACTTACCTCTAGGAGTTTGTTTTTACCTCCCTTGCCTGGAAACCACTCACCTCTAAGGGTTTGTTGTTACCCTTCCTGGCTGGAAGACCAATTAGCTCTAGGAATTTTATTTTGATACCATCCCTTGGCCTAGAGACCACTTACTTATAGGAGTTTTTTTGTTACCTTCCTTACCTGGTGGTCACTTACCTCTAGCAGTTTGTTGTTGCCTCCCTTACCTAGAGACCACTTCCCCCTAGGAGTTTATTGTTGCCTCCCTTACCTGGAGACCACTTACCTCTAGCAGTTTGTTTTTACCTCCCTTGCCTGGAAACCACTCACCTCTAAGGGTTTGTTGTTACCCTTCCTGGCTGGAAGACCAATTAGCTCTAGGAATTTTATTTTGATACCATCCCTTGGCCTAGAGACCACTTACTTATAGGAGTTTTTTTGTTACCTTCCTTACCTGGTGGTCACTTACCTCTAGCAGTTTGTTGTTGCCTCCCTTACCTAGAGACCACTTACCCCTAGGAGTTTATTGTTGCCTCCCTTACCTGGAGACCACTTACCTCTAGGAGTTTGTTTTTACCTCCCTTGCCTGGAAACCACTCACCTCTAAGGGTTTGTTGTTACCCTTCCTGGCTGGAAGACCAATTAGCTCTAGGAATTTTATTTTGATACCATCCCTTTGCCTAGAGACCACTTACTTATAGGAGTTTTTTTGTTACCTCCCTTACCTGGTGGTCACTTACCTCTAGCAGTTTGTTGTTGCCTCCCTTACCTAGAGACCACTTCCCCCTAGGAGTTTATTGTTACCTCCCTTGCCTGGAGACCACTTACCTCTAGCAGTTTGTTTTTACCTCCCTTGCCTGGAAACCACTCACCTCTAAGGGTTTGTTGTTACCCTTCCTGGCTGGAAGACCAATTAGCTCTAGGAATTTTATTTTGATACCATCCCTTGGCCTAGAGACCACTTACTTATAGGAGTTTTTTTGTTACCTTCCTTACCTGGTGGTCACTTACCTCTAGCAGTTTGTTGTTGCCTCCCTTACCTAGAGACCACTTACCCCTAGGAGTTTATTGTTACCTCCCTTGCCTGGAGACCACTTACCCCTAGGAGTTTATTGTTACCTCCCTTGCCTGGAGACCACTTACCTCTAGAAGCTTGTTGTTACCCTCCCTTACCTGGAGACAACTTACCTCTAGCAGTTTGTTGTAACCTCAATTGCCTGGAGACCACTCACTTCTAGAAGCCTGTTGTTACCCTCCCTTGCCTGGAGACCACTTACTTCTAGAAGCTTGTTGTTACTCTCTCTTGCCTGGAGACCACTTACTTCTAAAAGCTTGTTGTTACCCTCTCTTGCCTGGAGACCACTCACTTCTAGAAGTTTGTTGTTACCCTCTCTTGCATGGAGACCACTTACTTCTAGAAGTTTGTTGTTACCTCCCTTTCCTGGAGACCACTCACTTCTAGAAGATTGTTGTTACCCTCCCTTGCCTGGAGACCACTTACTTCTAGAAGCTTGTTGTTACCCTTCCTTGCCTGGAGACCACTTACCTCTAGCAGTTTGTTGTAACCTCAATTGCCTGGAGACCACTCACTTCTGGAAGCTTGTTGTTACCCTCCCTTACCTGGAGACCACTTACCTCTAGCAGTTTGTTGTAACCTCAATTGCCTGGAGACCACTCACTTCTAGAAGCTTGTTGTTACCCTCCCTTACCTGGAGACCACTCACCTCTAGCAGTTTGTTGTTACCCTCTCTTGCCTGGAGACCACTCACCTCTAGAAGCTTGTTGTTACCTCCCTTGCCTGGAGACAACTTACTTAACTCTAGCAGTTTGTTGTTGCCTCCCTTACCTGGAAACCACTTACCTCTAAGGGTTTGTTGTTACCCTTCCTGGCCGGAAGATCAATTAGCTCTAGGAATTTTATTTTGATACCATCCCTTTGCTTACAGACCACTTACTTATAGGAGTTTTTTTGTTACCTCCCTTACCTGGTGGTCACTTACCTCTAGCAGTTTGTTGTTGCCTCCCTTACCTAGAGACCACTTACCCCTAGGAGTTTATTGTTACCTCCCTTGCCTGGAGACCACTTACCCCTAGGAGTTTATTGTTGCCTCCCTTACCTGGAGACCACTTACCTCTGGAAGTTTGTTGTTACCCTCCCTTACCTGGAGACCACTTACCTCTAGCAGTTTGTTTTTACCTCCCTTGCCTGGAAACCACTCACCTCTAAGGGTTTGTTGTTACCCTTCCTGGCTGGAAGACCAATTAGCTCTAGGAATTTTATTTTGATACCATCCCTTTGCCTAGAGACCACTTACTTATAGGAGTTTTTTTGTTACCTCCCTTACCTGGTGGTCACTTACCTCTAGCAGTTTGTTGTTACCCTCCCTAAACTAGAGACCACTTACCCCTAGGAATTTATTGTTACCTCCCTTGCCTGGAGACCACTTACCTCTAGCAGTTTGTTGTTACCTCCCTCATCACGAGACCACTTACCCCTAGGAGTTTATTGTTACCTCATTTGCCTGGAGACCATGCACTTACCTCTAGCAGTTTGTTGTTACCTCCCTTACCTGGAGACCACTTACCTCTAGCAGTTTGTTGTTACCCTCCCTTACCTGGAGACCACTTACCTCTAGAAGCTTGTTGTTACCCTCCCTTGCCTGGAGACCACTTACTTCTAGAAGCTTGTTGTTACCCTCTCTAGCCTGGAGACCAGTTACTTCTAGAAGTTTGTTGTTACCCTCCCTTGCCTGGAGACCACTCACTTCTAGAAGATTGTTGTTACCCTCCCTTGCCTGGAGACCACTTACCTCTAGAAGTTTGTTGTTACCTCCCTTACCTGGAGACCACTTACCTCTAGCAGTTTGTTGTATCTCCAGAGCGTGTCTATAGCCATATCATAGTACTCGTTCTCACACAGAGTGTCGATCGCCAGGTTGAAATGTCCAAGCTGTTCATAACAGCGACTGCCTTCAATTGGCCGTTTTATCTTCCGGTAGGTTTCCCCCGCTTTCTCAAGCTGAAACGTATCAAGTTACACTAATTAAGAAAAACAATTTCAGCTAAAAATGATTTCCCAAGCTTTCTCAAGCTAATACCAATCAGACAGACCTCATTCAAATAGAAACAAAGTGGATGGATCAGACAAAGACATTCCAAAGTGATCAAGTGTTTGACACTTTACCTTGACAGTGTAGAAAAATTCAATCTGAATAGTGCCAATTGTTATTCTTTTTTAAAGATTTAGACAGTAAACTAGTTAACTGTTACATATTGCTGTACAAGAAACTAGAACACTGACATGTCAGTAAGGGCCCCCTCTTGTGGCAATATATCCCCCATAATCATCAAGAAGCAATCTGCCCATATACAATGTAGCTGAGCTTGACGTTTGACATTTGGACTTCAAAAAGAATAGCAAGGAAGCAAAATATGCATTTTACATGAACTATGGTTTCCTTCCACCTCCATATTTGCTTGGCTAACAGAAATGTAAATACCGGTGCAATACTCATTTGTTAGCTTTGATTTGTTTTATTTCACCTTATATACCTCCTCCATCAAGAGCCAGGGTCAAAGTCAGAGATCCACTTTGTCTTTGACCTTTGTACCCAAATGACCTGGACCTTTAACCCAGTGACCCTGATCTTTGGTCAGATGACTTATTCTTTAATTCCGACCAACTTTGCTTCATAATATCGTAACAAAATGTTTATCAGTGAAACAACACTTGACCTTGACCCTTTGGACCACGTTACCTGGACCTTAGGTTTTAAGTTCTGAATAACTTTGCTTCATAATAACATAAAACTAGAATTATGTCAGTGTGACATTAAAGCCGCTCACCACTTTAAATTAAATTGCTTCAGTAACACGTTGAGCATCAATATCTACTATAGTACCTCAGATATGTGTTCTGTATTCTGCCAATTGAAAATCAGGTCATGTGATGATGTTGCCTTTGGAATTTCCATAATCAATCACCCCTTAAATGATGCCTTAAAAACATTTCTCCCTCGCCTCTTTTTTCACACTCTTTTGTGACGCATTGTTGTAATTTTCATTAATTAGCATCCTCCAATGATGTGACATGAGCATTTACGTGCAGAATGGCAATCGGTGAATGGGTAATAAAGAATAGGTGCATTTTGTGCTTGTGAAATGAAGGATAATAAACAGTAGTGGGGAACATGCATGTAGGAAAGAGACATTGTACTCCTTTTATTTATATTTATTTTTTATTCATATAATAATAATTATTAATATATGTAGTGACTATATTTACTGTAATTGAATATACAATTCATCACAAAATCTCACAAATGTTCTTGGAATATATTTGAATTATATTTCTCAATGCGACTTTACCAACGTATAAGAGTTATTTCCCCTACACCGGATTGGACAATATTTTGACATAGTGCGAATTCTTGTCAAACAGCAGCGGCAGTTGTGTCATGTTCTTAAATTGTTACATTTTCATAAATAAATACACCAGAAATAGCATGCTGTGTTACAGAAATGTTTGATAAGTATACACAGTTCACATATCGTCTCGTCTCAGAGCCATTACTGTCATGAACCTAAGCACGATGTGTCATATTACGTTCCCATTTGAAACATCAAAATAGAGGTTATACTTCATCACTCATACGGTTTATAGGTATATATATTTACTTTTTCCTTGTATTTACAAAATAAACAAGAGGCCCATGGGCCTTAACGGTCACCTGACATCCGATTCAAATTAGGACAGTCATCCAGGGGTCAATTCATACTTTTCGTCGGTCCGAGTGACCTTGCATTGCTGCATCGTCCATTAATTTTTCCTTGTGAACACAATAACTTCAGTAAATATGAACCGATTTTGATGAAACTTTGTATGCAGCTTTGTATCAATGAGATCTTGAATGAGTTTGAATACCGGACCAATTTGACATAGTTATTCCCCTTGGTAATTCTATTATTGTTGGACCCTGTGAACATGATAACTGAATTAAATGGGTGTGACTCCAATTTTGACCCAAGGGGTCTGTTTTGAACATACTTGGTAACTGTATGTCTTCTGTTCTTGGTTAAAAGAAAAAAGTAAAAGCGTAAATCAATGATTTATTAAATAAGGCACAAAATTTTAATAGCACCTTGTTAGTAGCAAAAATGTGTTATGAATGAAAAAAAAAGGTACCACATGAATTTACATCTATTCTTGTGTAATGTCAATCAACATCACAGGGACAAATAATAATATAATGACAAATGGCAATAACTCTGCAGGTTACTGTCAAATAATTACCGGACAAAGTTTCATTGAACTCCGTCAACATTTATTCAAGTTATCGTGTTTACAAGGTCCAATAATAATATTATTACAAAGTCCAATACAAAATAGTGTAATAATAATTTGACAAAGTGCAATAACTCTGTAAGTTACGGTCAAATAATTCCCATTTTCCAACTCATTCATGATCTTATTGATATAAGGGTGCATACAAAGTTTCATCAAACTTGGTTGATAATTACTTAAGTTGTCATGNTATGACCCAGGGGTTAAGTCTCCAAGGGTGGGGCAGTCCCCAAGGCCAACCTGGAAGCATATGTGCAATCATCTCTTTATACTCAGCAATTGTATATATACGGTTATAGGGTGGGGCTCTCAACTGTTTCCAAGCTGTGACTAAGAAACTAGGTCCCTAGGGGTTCGGTCAGACCCCAGGGTCTATTCTGATATCATGATTGCATTCGTCTCTTTATGCCCAGCATTTGTATATATAGTTTTGGGGTGGGGATCTCAACCGTTTTAAAGTTATGGCCCAGGGACTATGTCTCCAAGGGTGGGGCCAGACCCTAGGGACATCCTGGAAGCAAATGTGCATTGTTCTCTTTATACTCAGCAATTGTATATATGGTTATATGGTGGGAATCTCAACCATTTCCAAGTAATACATTTTATTGGCCCCACCCCTTAGCCCGGGGAGTCAGCCCCACCATTTGTACAATTTTTAATCACCACCACCTAGGGATGCTTCCAGTCAAATATGGTTGATATCCATCGCTTAGTTCCAGGGAAAAAGTCGCTTAAAGCAATATAGGCAAATTGACCCCTTTTGGCCCCGCCCCTCAGCCCCCTGGGGGGTCAGCCCCACCATTTGTACAATTTTGAATCCCCACCACCTAGGGATGCTTCCAGTCAAATTTAGCTTAATACCAACCAGTGGTTAAGAAGAAGAAGTCGTTTAAAGAAATTGTTCACGTACGGACGCCGGACAGACGCCGGACGCCACGTTATGGCATAAGCTCACCTTGGTCCTTCGGACCAGGTGAGCTAAAAAGCTAGACCGTACAGACAGCGTCAATGCTCGACAGTCTTCACATGTGCTTTCTCGAATCACACTTGCTAAAACGCTCAAACCCAGTGCACGAATTTCACCACCACAACACTCGTAGAATGCACTGGAGATAAACATTTTGTTTGGAGAAGGGTATCAGAAGACTTTATGTAACCCACAGTTGAGTGTCAGAGATTCTACTTTCTATTGGTTGGTTGGTTGGTTGGTTGAAGGGTTTTTCGCCTACATGATTCCGCCCATACAGGTTTCATCTACTTTCTATTTACGATAACGAAACTATATAGAGGAAGAATGCAAGACTGAATTATGCGCACGCACCCCGAACGGAAGTGGGTCCGTCATTTCATTCTCTGGACAGAATCAATAAGCCGCTCGACTCTCGCCAAAAGCAGCTGAAAAAATGTTCACCAGTAAAAAGATACAATATTTGACCTTTACCCCGTGACCTTAACCTTAAGTCATTTGACTCCTTGCTAAATTTCGATCAACTATGCTTCATGATGTCATAACAAAATTGGACCCTTGACCCAGTTACCTTGACCTTTGGTCAAATGACTCCTTGTTTATTTCAAACCAACACTGCTTCAAAGTTTCATAACGAAATGTTCACCAGTGAAAATATATTAATTTGACCTTCAACCAGTGACCTTGACATTAAGTCAGTTGACTCTTGCTTCATAGTGTCATAACAAAATGTTCATCAGTGAAAAGCTACAAAATTTGACCTTGACCTTTGAACCAATGACCTTGAACTCTGACACGATAAACTTGACCATTGGTCAGTTGATTCCTTGTTAAATTCTTATCAACTTTGCTCCATCATGTCATAACAAAATGTTCATCAGTGAAAATATGTAAAATTTGACCTCAACCTTTGGACCTAATGACCTTAACCTTTGACCTCGACTTTTTACCTTAGTGTGTCTGTTTGTTTAATTCCGACTAACTTTGCTGCATGTCATAAAATACTCATTAGTGAAAAATTACAAAATTTGACCTTTGATCTTGACCTTTTGTCAGTTGACTCCTTGTTTAATTCTGATCAACTTTGCTTCATCATGTCATAACAAAATGTTCATCAGTGAAAAGATACAAAATTTGACCTCGACGGTTGAACCTAATGACCCTGACCTTTGACCTTGACTATTTTTTTTACCTCAGTGTGCATTTTTGTGAACTAAACATAATGACCAAGTTTCTTGTAAATCGGTCAATAAATACCAAAGTTATCAGCCGGGAACAAAATTACTAGATTACTATATAGGGCACTAGCATCCATTTCTTTAATTCAAGTCTTAGCTTTTACTTACAAAGCCAATCTTCTCGAACAGATGGGCAACCAGCTCCCTCTCCCGAGCGTTCTGTAGACACTTGCCTGCCTGTGAGGGTAGAGAGCAGTCTAGGAACATCTCCGCAGCGAACAGAAACTCATCTTGCATGCGCTGGCGACTGTCCTTTGTGCGGGAGGCCTTTAATGCTTGTTGATGAGCCAGGGCCACTTTATGTAATTGCCGATCTCCTCCCGAAATGAAGCACTTTGCCGCAACCTCATACAAAGCATGCTTCATGAAGTCTTCACCTCGTTTAATCCAGTCTTCTGGACTGGATTCCTCCGCAAACATACCACCAATGGTATCTGTGCTCTCTAGGGGTTAAAAGATTAAATATTGTTACGTTGTTTCAGCACAAATGAGATATTGCTGTTATCATGAATTTTTACATCGCTTAATTGTACTTTTTACCAGTCTATCAGTACTCTCATGCTTTCTTCCAAGAACTAGGATCAGAATTGCCAAAAACTATAGTCCGCCATTGACAGAAAGCTAGGCCATGAACAAAGAATTACATGTTACCGTATTGTTTCTCAGTTCACTACCACTATACCCAATGCAATTTAAGAGGATGAGGAATAAATTCTTCCTTTTTGAATGCAACATTGATAAGTGAAACTCTTTTTTTTAACTTGTTGTAAAACATTAGATTTTTTACATAAAATTTGTATGGTGATGATCTGGACAGCGCTTCTCAATTTGTAAAATATAAATTAAAACAAATTAACCAGGAAAGTCATCAATGTCCCCTTTCTGTAGACAAGTCCTGATTAGAGAACTGTAAGAATGTAGCAAAATTGACAATTGTGTTAAAAGTGTGAAAAAGTGCAATGTCAAACTTTTAGGCCATGTCTGAGGTGAGATTAAGTTGGGTGAGGGAACATTGAACAATCTACAAGACAATAAGGGGCGGGTATACCTCCATCAAAAAGGGTCGAAATCCCAAATTAAAGTGCCGGTGCACAACAACATAAAATACTGATCATTCATGCAAAGTTTCACTGAAATCCACATGTTAGTTAAGGAGAAGTTGCGCGGACAAGTATTTCGCAAAAAGGGGCATAACTCTATCAAAAAGGGTCGAAATCCCAAATTAAAATGCCGGTACAAAACTACATAAGATACTGCTCATTCATGCAAAGTTTCAATGAAATCCACACGTTAATTAAGGAGGAGGTTTCCAGACAAGTTACTGAAGACGACAGACATCCAGACAGGATGATTCCAGTATACTCCCCCTAACTTTGTTGCGGGGGTATAATGACAGCAAGTGATTCATATTGTATTGCCTTAGTTTTTAGATTATTTACTCATATGATTGCGTCATGTTTCTGTATACTTGACAAGGGTAAAACTCACATGAGTCCTGAACATTTCTTCTAAAACAAGCTAGAGGAGGATGCTTGTTACGTACATTAACACTTAAAACTGTTTAATTTAGAAATCAAATTTCATTTAAGATATCAATATGAATCTGGTACGCTAACTACCTTCATCTACATCTGTGCTGTTGAGGATCTTGACTAGCTTGCGAGCCTTGAAGTATTCAAACATGGGCGCCCGCTTGTCCTGGTCCTCGTCAAAGATCCACACATTGACGCGAGCACGAGTCACCGCTGTGTACAGGTGTTTAAGCTCGGAGTTGAGTACTTTGTGTAGACTGTTATCAAACTTCAGGGCCCTAGGTCGGTTGGTCTGCTGTAGTACATCTGCCAAACAATGGAAACAACAAAACAATAGATATATCAATAACAATACAGTAAATGTTTCCTTAATTTTGAATTCTTTATTCATCAGACAAAACCAAAACCAAATTATTTTCTCGTTGTATATGTCTAGTATCGGAATAGCACCTTATTTTCCCTTACCTGCGTCAATCTGTACAAGACTTTCCTGGTGTGATGGGGAGTTGTCTCCCTTTGCTCCTTTAGTTCCGATAGCCAGCTCTTCCAAATACTCTGTGACAACCCTCCATTCCTTGTTTGCCTGGATTGAAAGAAATATTTACTTATATGATTTATACAGACTTTCATAACAAAATTTAATCACCTTTTCAAGCATTTTTTTTTGCAGCATTTAAGTGATTTAGTGAATGGACTCTGTTATATAGCAGAAATATTATAACAAATTACAACAGATTTACAGTGATCTCATAAATTTTTGACTTTGAAAGAATAGCCAGCTGGAATGTTCATATGCAATAATGTTGGCCCATAGAAATTCTGAACAAGTGGCCCAGTGGGCCTGTATCACTCACCTAGATAATATAGCAAACATGGGAAATTATTCTCATTACATAAAATCCCTCCGATGGTACAGAAAGAGAAAGATTTTAAAAATGTAAACCTCAAATTCCTCTTTTGAGGCCAGCCCCCTGTACCAAAGAGGGGCCACACCCTCACGTTTTATACAAAAGTTAGTCCTCTTTTCCCAAGGATGCCATATCCTGGCCAAACTTGGATAAGGATAAAATCCATCAAATGGTACAGAGGAGGAATGTTTTTTGAAGACTTTAACCTCAAATTCCCCTTTTGAGCCCCGCCTCTCTGCACCCAAGGGGGCCATATCCACCCTTTATGCAAAATTAAGTCCCCTTTGCCCAAGGATGATCCAGGCCTAATTTGGAAAAATTACAAAAAGGAGAAGGATTTTTAAGATTTAAACCTCAAATTCCCCTTTTGAGCCCCACTCTCTGCACCTGAAGAGGCAGCACCCACAATTTATACAAAATTGAGTCCCCTTGGCCTAAGAATGCTCCAGACTAAATTAGGATAAAACCCCTTTATTCTTACAGTAGAAGACAGATTTTGAAGGTTTTACCTTTATTTCCCCCCATTGGGCCCCGCTCCTTTACCCCAAGGGGGGCTACATCCACCATTTATACAAAATTTGAGTCCCCTTTGCCCAAGGATGCTACAGACCAAATTGGAATGAAATCCCTTAATCCCAATGGTAGAAGACGGATTTTAAAAGGTTTACCTCTATTTCCCCTATTTGGCGTCACCCTCTGCCCCCAGGGAATCACACCCACTGTTTATATAAAATTGAGTCCCCTTGGCCCTAGGATGCTCCAGACCAAATTTAGTTAAAATCCACTAAGCTGTTCAGGACTGGTACCGTTTTAAAGGAAAAGTTGACGGATGGACAGACGGACGACGGACACTGAGCCATGGCATAAGCTCAATTCCCCTTCTGGCAAAAAAGTAAATGCCTATTTACAAGCATTTTCTCAGCACTGACCTCTATTCTAGCACTTTTTCATGGACTCAGCAGTTCGGATTATCACATTACAATCCAGATGGAAAATTTCTTTACAGAGAGAATCTTAAAAGAGCTATGATTTCATATCAGATTGACGTCATTTTTTGAGAAGTTATGCTAATCCACTCACTAGTAAAGACAGACTTTTTGAGAATTTGAATTTATACCTGCGAGTCTTTGAAGAAGTTGTAGAGCAGAATGTCATCAAACTCAAGTCCTTTGGCTTCATAGACGGTCAGAATAAGTCCTAGCTGTAACTCCTCTGGGATGTTATCCCTTGCTGCTTCATCAACAACCAGTATTGCTTGGTGTGCCCCAAACTCGATGTGCGACGTCTTGCGTCGACTGCCCCGCAATAGCATGGCAAGGTCACTGAAGCTACAGGACTCTAACAATACTGGACGTGGACCGTTAAACAGGCCCTGGTCCTTCTGTAGCCGGTCAAAAGACTCTGGGAAGAAACGGACCATGAGGTCAAGGATACTAGAGGCTAGAAACAGAATGCCTGCATGAGATCTATAATTATGAGTTAGCTGGTGCACTCGCTTTGGGACTTCGATATTTGATACCTTGCCGTGAGCCTGTAGTGACTGTTTAGCATAGAAGAAAATAGACTTGAGATCATTGAAGCGGAAAGCTATCCCACGCATGATGCTCTGAGCTGTGTCACCAGTGAGGAACATCTGGTTTGGATCTTGACAGATTCGGAGGAGGAGACAGAGCTCTGCTTGTGTAAAGTCCTGGGTTTCATCTACGAACACCTGATGGATTACCCAAGAGATATCGGTCTCCTGCTTTAGGCGGTTGTACACCGACCGAACCAAGTCTGTCTCATCAAACAGGAATTTCTGCTTCTTGAAATGGTCATATTTCTTGAAGAGATCGTACATGTCTGTACGTCTGCCAGTAAAATTGGGAGCTCGCTTCTTCCCGAGTTCGAAGTACTCTTCCTTCCCTAAAATTCCAGAGGGTTTTGACAGGGCTTCAAATGACCCTTTGATAAAGGACATGATTTCTGTCCACACCAGTGAAGGATGGTATTTTCCTCCAAACTTCTTGCAAATCTTTGGCCAGATTTCCTCGCTGAAGACATCGTAAGTAACCTCTCTTCGAGGGTCAACTTTCACTTTGCTTTTAGCAGCTTGTTGTCTGTCATCATCATCCTCTAAATCATCGAACTGTCCTTCATCATCGTCCTCGTCATCAGATTCCTCGGCCAGGAGAGGAAGGATGCTGAGCAAGCCCTCGCCATCGGTCCAGCCCTGAACATCAACCTTCAGTCCACCATCCTCTCCTCGCTCAAAAAAATAGGGTTGTCCTAGAGATGCGTCCAGCATCAGCAACAGCTGTTTGGAGGTAATGAAGAGAGGGAAGTGGTAATCACCAATGTCCTGTAGACGTGGGGGCAACACCTGGTCCTCCGTCTCCACTTGGTTCTTTGCTATGGCGCAGGCATGGCTCAGCTCTCGAAAGTTCTTTTGCACCTGTTCAAACAAAACTAGAAATCTCAGGCACACGCATATTTAACATCTACCAACCATCTCTAAAGAAATGAAATTAATAATGTATCATCCAATCAGCACCCACAGAAGCCCCCCTGAATTCTGAAATGTAACAGTTGGCCATTTAACTCATTCCCACTGAAGAACATAATGGATTCATCCAGATCAATGCAAGGTAGAGTCTACTAAACGTTACATAGGGATGAAAGGGTAAAGATAAAGCATATCAACCATATCTGTATCAGTCCTACAAAGAATCAACAAGTTATTGTCTAACTATTAAGAAACCTTGTCCACCATCTTGAATCCTAAAATTTTAAAGTTGACCTTTTATTGCAAACTATATTCTCTATTTATAACTTACACAAAGTATCAAGAAATCTGCAACTTAAGTTGAACCCTGCTTCATTATTGTTTTTGAGGCAATTTTTTTAGAATATGAAAGGTACTGCAATTATTTTAATTTCCAAACAAGAGGCCCAATGGGCCTGCATCGCTCACCTGGTATAAATCTCACACTTGTAATCTAAAAAGTGGACTAAAATACAGCTACAGGCAGAATATCAGTGTGACCTTGAATGACAATCAATGACATTAGGTTGAAAGTGGGTCAAGGTCATTCATTTGAACAAATTTGGTAGCCCTGATTGCTACAGGCCAAATATCAGTACCTGGGCCTTTTGGTTATTGAGAAGAAGTTGTTTGAAGATTTTTAGACATTTGACACCTGTGACCTTGAAAATTGGTCAAGGTCATTCATTTGAACAAACTTGGTAGCCCTTCATCCCAGCATGCTAATGGCCAAATATCATCACCTTAGGTCTCTTGGTTATTCAAAAGAAGTTGTTTAACTAATTTGAACATATTTAACCCCTATGACCTTGAATATAAGTCAAGGTCATTTATTTGAACAAACCTGGTAGCTCTTCAACCCAGCATGTTACTGGACAAATCTCATCACCCTAGGCCTGTCAATTATTCAGTAGAAGCTGTATAAAGATTTAAACATATTTGACCCCTGTGACCTTGAATATCAACCAAGGTCATTTATTTGAACTAACTTGGTAGCCCTTTATCCCAGCATGTTACTGGCCAAATTTAGGCATACCAGGCCTCTTGGTTATTCAGAAGAAGTCGTTTAAAGGTTTTAAACATATTTGACCCCTGGGACCTTGAATATAAATCAAGGTCCTTTATTTAAACAAACTTGGTAGCCCTTCATCTCAGCATGTTACTGGCCAAATATCATCACCCTATGCCTCTTGGTTATTCAGAAGAAGTTGTTGAAAGGTTTTAAACATATTTGACCCATATGACCTTGAATATAAATCAAGGTCATTTATTTGGACAAAATTGGTAGCCCTTCATCCCAGCATGTTACTGGCCAAATATCATCACCCTATGCATCTTGGTTATTCAGAAGAAGTTGTTTAAAGAATTTAACATATTTGACCCCTGTGACCTTAAAAATGGATGAAGGTCATTTATTTAAACAAACTTGGTAGCCCTTCATCCCAGCATGCTTCTGGCCAAATATCATCATCCTAGGCCTTTTGGTTACTGAGAAGAAGTTGTTTAAAGTAAAATGTTGACGACGGACGGTCGACAGATGGACGACGGACGCCGCACCATGCCATAAGCTCACTTGGCCCTTCAGGCCAGGTGAGCTAAAAATCATGAAGCACCTAGTCTTATTATGTTGAATATCGAAGATGTATCCTTTATATCACACAAGAGTTGCCTCCCTTACCTCATTACACAACACAGCATTCTTTGTGATAAAGATCTGATGGAGATGGTCGTAGATCTGTCCTTCCTCTTCTTCTCCATTTTCCTCTACTACTTTGCCATCTGCCCCGACTGTCGCTCCGAGGAGTTCCTCTAAGGGGTCATCCTCCTCTTCCTCATCTTCATTATCATCTTCATCCTCTTCATCTAATCAAATAGCATAGGAAAATAAACATAAGGAAACATTTGAAATCAATGTTTACCTTCGAGACCGAAATATGTATAGACTATCAATCTAGGTAAAAAATAATATATTGATACTCCTGCATACTTGAAACTGAACAAGGAATTGTCAAAGGTACCATAACAAGAGGCCCATGGGCTTTAACGGTCACTGGAGTCCTACAGTATTTATTTTTATTGTTAAAATATGTACCAATTTTAGTAAAAAATAGTTAAGTATAACGTTAACTTAAGTTTGTCAGGACCATTAGCTGATCATTCCTAGACCGAGTTTCAGTTCAATCGGCCCAGTAGAACTTGACTTAAAGTTTGAAATAGTTTTTCAAAATGGCGGCCATATTTGATTTCTGAATGACCTGAAAAATAACAACACTTTTTCAGGAGCTAAAAGTTCAGGTGACCTAAAAATTCAAGAACTATAGATCATACTTTCCTTGGAAACATTGGACAAGTGTTTTTTTTTTTGTTTTTGTTTTTTATAAATGGATGTATCTTTAAGCCTCTCCTCTGCAAGTTCAAAATCATCCTCAATATCCAGGTGTTACCCTCACTTATGCTCTCTGCACCCCTGGAATATGTATTAGCAAAATGGAGGCTCACGGTCACACAACAGTAATTTTCGAAGGACAGGTATCAGCCTCGCGATTGGTCAGGTTTTGTTACCAGAGACCAACCAAACAGCTATCTTTGTGCCTTCAATTTTGTCATGACATATTCCAGGGGTGCAGAGAGCGTAAGTGAGCAAACCCCTGGATATCGAGGATGGTTCAAAATATGGAAATGTAGCAATTTGAATTTGTACAAGTAATACTTAATGGTTCTGTAAAATTTCAGAGCTACATTTCGTACAGATTTATGACAAATGTTTTTGACGGATATATTCCTTAGGCACTCACAAATTAAAATAATGATTAATGAAAACGTGGCAATAACCACGATGTAAAGTAAAACCTTGTCATAATTCCTCTCGTTTCATTTGCCGCCTCGTTCATCGCCAACATATTCCATACCTCCCTTTTCTCTTTTTTTTTTAAATTACCCTTAATTTATCATCAAACCCGGCCCTTTGCAATGAGGTCTGTAAATTACTATGCATATGCTTCTTGATTTCATATTCAAGTATTGATAATATAATTACATTGTGTCCCTGTACAATTAATTTACTATACATTTTACAGCAACATGTTTGGCTGTAATTATGCTAGAATTGTATTTCAATTCTATGCAATGTTGCCTTTGATTATACCTGAATTTATATTCATATATTTAATGCTATTACTCTGTATATATTATTGCCGTAGATTGTAGAGAAGGCCTCAAGGGAGAATATAGTTTTGTAACTAATGGAGCGACTNAAAGCATTATTATTATTATAACGCTTAACTTTCTCTGGACAAATGGTATGATGAGGTTTTACTATAAATATCAGCTTAGACTGACCTCCGTCCTCCTCCGTTGTCCTGTTGACCGAACTCCTGGGAAGGAGCGGGGCCTCAGCCTCTGTTGCTTTAGTCCAGTAGGATAGGAACTGGGTCCACAGTCTGTACAGACAGCAGGTTGTCTTGCCTGTTCCACTCCGACCCAGTAGTAGGATTGGGGACTGTGACTTTAGATTAATGATGGCATGCTCTAAGTCAGTCACTCGGAACGGAAAGTCCACCTGAAAAAATAATATATATTTCACAATTTATTGACAAAATTTATAAATGTCAAACAGCATTGGACATCAGGATAGCTCAATTGGGACAATAAACTAGTTATCT